AAGTGAAAATGCTGGTTCAAATTTTAAGATTGTTGATTAGGGATATTCAGGATTCAAGCCTACCTAAAGTTCTTGTAATTTTTTTTGCTTTAGCCACAATAATGATGCAAATATGCCATAAAAAGTCATGCTGCTTGCATTTCTCTTTCCTATATCTTTAGAAAACTTTGAATATTGTCTAGTGATTTATCGTTCATTCTGTGCACATATCTTCCAAATAAAATTTTAAACAGTTACATTTTATCTAGTTGCCAATACTTAGGACTTACTGACTGAACTTGCACTAGGTTTATTAAGGTTTATTTTAGGGATCAAATATATCACAGATATACTGTTTTGTGCAAATTTTAAGAAATTAGCTAAAATAATAGAATTGGAGATTTTTTAATCTTGAGTTGATCAATCATAAAAAGTAAATTCTATGGCTAACTTATTTTTTTTCAGCTTTTTTAAAACAGTGTACAAGTAAGTTATGTACATGGATATTAATCTTTACAAAATTTTGACTTTAACTGCATATTTGCTATACTGCAAAAAGTGTCCTACTTGCGCAAAAGGTTATTCTTCAACACTCTTGTAGCTAACGATTTTATAAGATCGAAACAGATTCATTCTTCCTGAGCCCATTGATTTAGTGCTCTTTATTTGTTCACTCAAGTGTCTCTATGTTCCATATATTAGTCTTAGCATATTTGGAGATAGATGCATACAAGAGGTGGGAAAATTGCAAAAGCTTGTAGCAAATTACAATCTAAGGTATAATTTGCATATCTGATTACTTCAGATCTCTTGGAATATTTGTGGAACTTGTGAACTAGGATTTATAATGGTGGAAATGATCCTTACCATTCTTATTATAATTGTTATGAGACATGAAGCAGTGATTAATATAATAATTATAGTATAGATTATAGTGCTTAATGCATTCAAAATATTCTTAACCTATACCCTTACTTAATTTTTTAAAGAAATCGATTCAACTGGATACTAACTTTGGTAGCCACGAAAATAATATTAAGTCGATTTAAATTATTACCCCATAAGCATAGTGATACTAAGAAAGGCGGATTTTTCGTTTCACTAGATAGTGGTCTAAAATACTTTTTTTGTGACAGTGGTTCAACACTGTATTTTACACAATAATCCTGCGTTTTCTTATTTTAATTTCTCAATGAAACCTAGCTTAGAGGTGGTTGTGTTTTAAAATGAATTTTGGTTCCTCTTACTTATCTACATTCGTCATTCATAAAATTTCCTTTCTAATATGACTAAATGAAACTCGGGCAAGAATAACTAATAAATTGT